CCCCTCAGTCCCAAACGGTGTAATACACTGGGCATCCAGACGATGGCGCCACTGTACCACCTTTACCTTACAGACAATGGCTGCACCCCATGTAGTGTAAGTGCATTTTCAAGTGAGATGTTTATGCCTGGTTGCATCTATTGTCTTGAATGAATGTGCCCATAAACACACAGCGTTTGTCCGGCCCTCTCCTATGTGCATGTGCACTTTAATGGCCACAGCCGCGCTTTGCTTTGCCCCTTTAATGCGTCGCTGCATTCTGCATATGTCATTTAACTGAGCTTAAGCTTCTACATTACCCCTATTTAAGGGGAAAACATTATTTGTAGCGTGTCATGGAAAAAAAGGAAAATGGAAAAAGGGAAATAAAGCGTGACAGGCGCTGTGTTTTACAATTTAAACAGGCCTGAGAGAGCTGTTAGGCCGGCTAGCCTCAGGCTATGCAATTCATGTATAATAAATCTACTACCAAATGGATTGTTAAGGGTTTTTTTTTTTCCTCTGCAACAATTTGCTTTAATCAGAAGAGCACTGAAGTGAATCACATAGAAAAACCTGCCTTTATTTTTCATCCTAAAGAACTATTTGTTTCAGTAATTGGTACGAAAATTACCAAAGCAATTATGATGCACTTAAGTGAAGAATTCGATATATTTACACCTGAATTAGCTTTGATAAAACCTTCTTCTCCAGGCTCTCATGTTAATTAATGCAGAGAGTGGTAAAAGGGTTGCTGAATTGTGCTACGTGCTGCTGTGAGCAGGCATAGATAGGGTTTTTATTAGCGCTTGTGACATGAAAAAGTGGAGTGCCGTGATCACTATGAGGAGATGATTGTGAGAAAAAAGAGAGAATTATCCTATCTTACTGGTAAATATCTCATCATAGAAGCCCTGTGTTCATCAGGACAGCCTTTAGCAGTGAACGCAGGACTCTGTTTGGCTTTGTGAGCCTGCGTCGCTTGAAGCTGGAGCTGGGACAGAATTCCATTTAAGTTTTGATTTATTGCTGGAAGAAGCAGAAACAGACCTGCACTCTCAGGGGAGGAAAAACTGTGATGTTTGGCAAGTTTTGCTGAGACGCACTCTTCTTTATCAAAGCATTAACACTTTACACACCATTTTTCAAACAGCCTATCCTTTAAATATTAACCTAAGTTTTAGCACATTTGCTACGATCACAAAAAAAAGCAGGATCTAATACGAGCAAAACCTCGTACTTAAATCAGATTGTAAAAGAAATCCCACTAGAGCAAACTGCATCAGTACAGTCTGAGACGTTATACTCAGCAACATTAAAACTTAAACACAATGAAACAAGTTGTGCAGTAACACTGACTACATTGAAAGTGCATCATCTCTGTATATTTTTGCATCTTCTTCAGTCCACATTTGACAAGATTTATGCTCTGTATTTCTACATATATACATACTTTGTATTCAGATGGGGCTTTGTGCTTTTTGCTGACTTACTATAGTTGTCAGTCACAGAATATGAATAATGAGTGCAAATGTATTTTCCCTTGAAAATGTATTATTGTTTGCTTTCACTGAGTACCACCTTGACATATAACACCCAAAGGAACTGGATTATTTGTAGTTTCCAGTTTATGTGAATGAGTCTCATTATTGGTATTGATTGAATGTCATTTGGCACAGAGGCTGCATTGCTAAGTGATAGGTGCAGGGGAGTAAAAAAAAAAAAGTCAATGCATACGTGATGAGGTGTGACCACATGACATCAGACAAAGAAAAGGATCCTGATCATTATTTATAAGAACTCTTACTGTGACTTGTCCCTGCGTGTCTCATTTTAGAGCCATGTGCATTATTTAGCAATGTTGCCAATGTTCTGCTTTTTGTGTTTGGTTTTGAATTAAACAAGACTTGCAGTGCTGTTGTGACTCCTCTTTGAATCCTGAAGTGTTCTGGATGTCATCTGTGTGTAGTGGATTCATTCGACCCAATAGCACATCATGGTTTAAAGGAAAACTTAATCTTTTCCCCCCAAAAGTTATGAGGGCATTGAAACCTCTCTCATAGCTGTAAGTGGGCAAAGGGAATCCATCCATCAACACCTCAGTTTAGGAAGTAATTTTTTTTTACCATTTTCAGCATTTTAGCTTGTTAGCTTTATAACATTAGCTATCAAGCACTAAAGCCCCCCAAAAATGTGATGCTTATCATTAGTTTTGCAGGTAAGTCTAAATCCTGGATACATTAAGTTTTTTGAGTTTTACAGCAATGCTTCCAATATTTGTTAAGAAATCCCAATGAAAACCACAAATATCAACCTGCTGATGGCGCCAAAGAAAACACCAATCATTGGGATTCATCCTCAGGGGGACGCTTGATGTCTGTACCAAATTTCAAAGCAATCTATGCCATGTCTTTAAAAATATTTTTATCTGGACCAATGGGATTGACTGACCAGCTGACAACTAGACAACCATCCCAAATGAATGCTGCTCATGTGGCTAAAAATACAGAAAAAATAACTTTAATTCCAAATGCAAACACAAACATTATGAAAACACTTGTAAAGACAAAAGCGTTTCCTAAAAGAAAAGTTGTCCTTTTGATTTTTCAAATACAAAACCCGACAGCGGGTTAGCGAGGTATGTTATGTTTTCAAAATGACTTCATTTATCAAAGCCAGAAATTGGGACAAACACAAAGAATTATCACATTTCTTGAGGTTTCTGACAGTCTGCAAACTAATCATGAACTTTAAAAATCACAGCTTAAAATCTGGAGATTTCATCACAGTGACTCCATTTAAAAAGTGCCAAAAATGAATCATCTGCCACTGATCAGATTCTTTAAAAAACAAACAAATCTGCACTCTTTGGTACAACAGAGACGCTATTCCATCAGCTTTGACCAACAGTCCTTTAATGATAAGTCAGGGACATCTTTTAGCTAAACTGGCTTGAACTGCAGGCTGTTTTTACACAGAGCAGATAGAAGACAAGTGTGGAAGCAAACTAAAAAATGTAGTACGTAGAGTCACTATAATACTG